AAAAAAAAAAAAAAAAAATGGGATTGCGTTTTTTGTTAAATACCTTTTCCACCGAAGCTGTTATTAAAGGGATTGTCCGGTCAAATTTTGTAGTCGAGAAAACAATTGAATATCATTGTAATTGCCTCGAGAAGCATCGTACGTGCAATATCTGAATTTTCTATGCCTTTCTGCGTGAGTAATTGAACTTATACTGCTCCAATCGCATTCTAGCGTAAACGCTGCTTTCGTTGGCAACATTGAAGCTCTGACGTCACAAAACACAAAGTGAGCATTTTTGTCCCGTTGTTTGCCCGCGAGTGAACGCCTCAGCGTGCTTCGTTTTTGTTGTTGTGCTCGACTTGTTTCGTGGTTGGGTGAGATTTTTGTTGCGCGGTTGGGTGCCACAACCACCGGGCAGCACATGCGAGCCAAGACATGGCGTTCCACACTTTTCCGCGAGACGTGCAATGACGCGCAAAGTGGATCGTCGTCGTGCGTAGGGACTGGGTTCCCGTCCAGATCGAGATCCTGCTTATGCAGCAATTATCTCACAGAAGAAAGCTACGAGCTGAGCTCTCAGCGGACAGAAGGCTTGTAAGCTGAGGTGTGATGCTGTGCCAACGATATTAAACTACGTCCACCCACTCCTCGCCCAAATCGGATCAGTCAATTTAGGTCTGTTCGATTCGCCTGAACTGGCTGAACTAGTTCGGCAGTGCAGGAACTGGCACATTCGATTCAACCGGAAGTTGCACGACCGCTGCACTGGCGCGTTCGATTCATCCCAGTTCTGAACGAGTTCAGACCCAGTTCCTCAAAATCTTGCACCGGGATCCGGACTCAGTTCAGCGTCCGTGCAGAAGCAGACGACAAGAGCAGACGGCGATAGCAGAACTCCTCGTCCGTCTCTGCTCGCGGTGCCATTTTTTCGCAGCGCTTGCTCAAATGTCTGCGATGTTTAACAATAACGCCGATACGGAGGTTGCATTTCCTCTCATTTATGATAATAACGTACCCGCGGTAGACGCGGAATTGAGATCATAACCGAGGGTAGGAATTTGCTTGAGTATGATATTCTAAAAGCGTTTTAGGCACCTGCTCGCGTAGGTTTGGCTCCCTGTGGTGAGTGTTGAAATATTGGCTCCCGTAAATTGTTTCTTTTTGATGCTATGTGGGGATCCACAGTGTTGAATTTCTTACTTACAGACACGGGAAAAGTGTTGCCCTCTTGATAGTCTCCGCCTTCAGTTGCTCTTGGGTGCATATTGACGACTCCGATACATTGCAGAGGTCTGGGATTTAGTGCGTTGGCACTCGCATGTCCCCGTAGCTGAGCATAATACTGCATGCTTTGTCCGCTGGTATCTGTGGACGCCCACTAACGGGCCTGGGAAAAACACCGAGAATCGGCATTGTTTTTGCCGATTCTCGCTACAACTTGACGCCAAAGTTACGGTCGATAACTGTCTTGGCCAAGACGCTATCGTCAGGCCTTCGTCTTCGAGGTGACCGGTATACCGACCGCGCGCTGCCGCCAGTGACTCCCGACGCAAAATCATCCTGATGCCGCGAACCTATCGTCAAAATGCAAAGATTCCCTTTGAGGGGCATTTGCCGCTACCTTCTTGACTTGTAACCGACTATAGTTCAGAGCTTCCTGGCCGAATCGAACAGACCTTGATTATGCAGCGAAACCGAAACCAACAGCTTGGCAATCTCGAAATGATACCAGAAGTTGTATTTAGCACGCGTGCAGCCCGATATCTGTTTGACCCGCGTGTGAAAATGGAGCGTAGCTACAATTCACCAAGCTCGTCCAAGTCAAGTGACGAGTCCGACATGCATTTGAACGGTTCGCCGTTTGCCTTCCACCCGCGGACGTCGCCTCTGAGGGAATGACCCGCAGCCTCCTCACCGATCCAGTGGATCCGCCGAAATGTGTACCCAGATGCCGCTTCGTGTACCTAAGTGCCGCTTCAGAGGCGAAATCTGCATCCTTTGCTTTGCAAGCGCCCCTAGTTCGATCGGCGTCTGTCGCAGTTGTGTTTGCGCGAAACGGCATACGTTTGCTCGAAGCTTATGGTATGGTTGTCTGCGAGTAATATCCTTCTAAAAGGCGTGACTTTTTTTGCGCGTGCCTGGGAACTGTATTAAAAGAACCGTATTTCAGTAGGGTACTGTTTAGGAGACAATATAATTCGAAACAAAATACAAGACATCCATCAACCAACGCTTGTTATCCCGACCATCCGACAAACCTTTGCGTTTTGTGACGTCACGCAGCACCTACGGATGTCAGCCATTGACACTGGCGAAATTCGGGGTGCAGTTTCGTACATAGGATCATGAAAGGTTTAATTAATAACGGGAGATCATATATCAAAATAAAAATGACGTTTGTCTATATGAAGGCTCCCTCGACGTAACGAGCGCAGGAACTTAAGTACTTCCGGTTTCGACCGGACAATCCCTTTAAATACATACATATGGTGCCGATGTTTTTTTTTTTTTCTTTTAATTCCGCGGTAGAGGTTTGTATTTGGCTTTAAACTTGGTTAAAAAAAACAAAAAAAACTCAATAGGCCATATGCAAAATCCTTGCCAGCTATCATCATCATGCCATTAGGAGCCGCCATATTGGGGTTTTTATCACATCTTCCAGTTGTGGACGACGCGCATCTGCATTTAACTCGGGTTTCATGATATTAGGGCAGTTTATTTGTACACTCAACAGGTTGTTGGTTAGTTTCGGTTTAAAGAAAAGAAAGCCTCAAAATTCTGGAAAAGGAATTGTCAGCAACGCGGTCGCAAGACTCGTCACTCAAGCAGTGAACTGGGGGCTATGTGGCACGTTTTGGACTCCCAGGAGACTAGGGAGAAGAAAGTGACGTCAACAATGCTCTTTGGTTGTTGATTGGTGGCTGATGACGCAATGCGTGGTGCTGCTAAGATACGTTCATTCACACCTGCGTCACTTCCTTCTCCCAGTCTCCTGGGAGTTCAAAACGTGCAACATAGCCCCCCTGAGCCATCCAGGTCTATGAACGGTATTTCTCGAAGATGTTCTGTGAAGGGTCCTGAAGGGCCGTACCGGACTTGCAGCAGGTGACCATATTTTAGTTCTACGACTTCCACTTTGCCGGGACTATTGTTTCTCGGGCGAAATCATCGGTACGGGAACCCCCTAACATGAAGGAAATCTTACGATTGATCATGAATACACTAGATGGCGCTTCTTGTCGCATATGGTCTTTTGTGAGACGAATTAAGGTCTTCGATTTGAAGCCTCATATAGACTGGTCTAGTTACCAGTCGGAAGTTTCAGGTTGCCCGCGGCGGGTTTTCCACAGTTCCGATGAGCCGGATTGATATGAGCATCAATTGGAACTGCAGATGCTATGGTGCAACAATGTAGCAAAACTCACAGTTCCGAAATATCGGGTTATTCGTCATCACTGCACCAACAAAGCATTCAAGGCAGACTTCAAACACAAACATAGCATGTAAAAAAAAAATCTCTTAATGGTTGCAGATTCCACATACACCAGGGATCATATTAATTCCTCCAGGTCACCCTGCATTTATGAGATCGCACACTGAAATCATGAACATGGTGTACATGTTTGTGGCCTGACATACCTACACACCCACAAATGAAAGAAAGATGTTCGAGTTAAAATAAACAAAAGCTCCGAAGCACAGGACAATACATAAAAGGTTTGTCCCCTCCAAAGGTAGAATTAACCTTCAACAGCTCGCTTGCACCTGTACATTTTGTTCATGTCCGAGTTGTTTTGTAAATAGAAGTAGAGCTAGATACATCCAAACAGGCATATCTCTCCAAGATAAGCATGCAACCATAGAGTTATTATAATGTACGCTAGAGGTTCAAGTGGCGCTAGTGTGCTGACGCAAATTGAAGCAGACAGCAACCAGTCGAAAATTGACTTCCGGTAATGCATTTCTATGGGAAAAAGTGAGTGCATTTTCTCTCTGCGCTCGATCATGAGAGCAAATATCCCGAATAATTCATACGTACTAGGTAGCTTGGAACATTTCTCAGTCAGGCCGACGAAATAATTGGTCAGTTACGGTGTTTTTCTTTCAAATTCATCGCATTAAAAACGGTGCTAAAACAGCTTCGTACGTGTATTTATGTGCACTGTCGGACACTGTTAGCGCGAACACGACGTCGGCGCTTTTCGGCGTGGGGGATATACGTGCCAAACGAACGAAGAACATCTGGAAATTAAGAAAGACGGCAAGAACTACGCAGTAACACCGGATCAGTAACTACACGTGCATATACGATCAAAATTAATTGAAGGCCACGTAATCTATTCCTATTTTAATTAAGTAAGTACCGTTTTATTCTTTCTGCTCTGAGCGGAGCTGCTTGTTCTACGTTCAAAATATCAGTCGCACGCTCGAAATCTCCGAGAACCAGTGCGCGATAAAAGCTGCCCGGCAGAGAAAACAATACGAAGAGACAACTTTTATAGCTCACGGACTTCATTCTCTACGTTTTGCATGTTTTTATCCGCTCATGCACGACGGGGTCATTTTTATATAGTGACAGGACTGGCATTTTGTCAATATATAAGCGTCACCGGATTGCTGGCGAGCCTTGAACACACTCTAAATTCCTTTCGATTGTAATTTTGCTTCGAATCGTCGCTTGTTTCTACACACCTGCTGCGTAACACACGCTTGGGACTGAAATGTAGCGAAGTTAAACATCGGTCACTGATAAAGAAAAATGCGCTAACTAAAGCAATTACACTTTTACAGTGTTAATCAAGGTACATACGATTCGGTACGACCCAAATAACCAAAGTGCTCCGTGTTATTTTCCGGCGAAGAGACAAAATGCACGCGCGCTTTCCCATAGGAATACACAGGAAGACTGGAAAAGTAGACTGGTTGCTGTCTGCTTCAATTTGCGTCACGGAAGTCGCATAGACACTAGCGCCAGTTGAACCTCTAGCGTACATTATAATAACTCTATGCATGCAACACTGCTGCACATATCAATAAACTAAAACTTGATGAAATCTGCATCTTATACATCCAGAGGTGTACATAAAGGTTTTAATGTAATCGGTACCTTCCTTAATAAAATCTTTCATCCACGGTAAATCAGGCGAAAGAATGGCGTAACGGGCGGCAGGCGGTCTTGGTTATTTGGTGCAAAACGTCATACTCATGTGCATTTTAAAGTGTTTGCTGAACCCTGAGAGTCCCCACTGTCAAAAAGTGTGGTATTTGATTTTCTTTAAATGCGAACAGCACAGTACCCAAACCAAAAATGAAGAACAACCTGCAATAACATGACACAATACAATTTAAACATTGAAGGAAGTCGTCGCTGGTAGGAAGAACCTAAAAGAAGAGCCTCCTGGAAGCCCAAGAGTGGCGGAAGCCAATACATGTCTCACTACGGTCGCTGCCAGGACGAGAATGTCAGAGAGGCCCTTCAGTTGTCTTGCCTCCAATGTGAGCTTCTGACCTTCATTAAGTCATCAAAGCGCATGATGTTCAAGCTTGCTTCGAGCATGCACGGGCAGCCAAACTTTGGCCGCATGTGCATGCTCCAAGCGTGCACAAGATACTGAATAACTGTATAGGATGTGTCGCTTTAAGTCTTTGAGTCGACCGTATACAAGATACTAAGCAAAAGTATCCAAGTTATGTTACTGAATATCAGGCTAAAAAGTAACTGAGTACTAAATACCAAAATTTGAAAAGTATCTGAGTAGTAGATACTCATAAAAGTAACTCTACTTCAAGGTACTCTCAAGTTACAAACTGTTAAAAAAAAAAGCAAAAGAAACAAAAAAAAAGAATAAAAAGCTTCATACAACAGGTTTTCCTCTCCCTCCAATTGTGCGAGAGAAAAGATGTCCTCTCGGCTCGCCTCGCCGTTACTTTGGATCAGACTTGTACGTAGCTTAAATACTCTACCTTGAGTAGAGTTTTTAAGCTACATATAAGTGTGAGACAAAGCACAACGCAAGGCAACAAGCCTCCGCGGAGGCTGAACATACGAAAGAGATGCCCTGCCATTCACATCCTGTAGCATAGTCCCTTGGCAAAACATCAGCTGTAATTATGAAGCTTCCAGCAGGTTCCTTTGCAAGTAATACAATTCCACATTTCCAAGCACCACCTTGCAACTCATGCCATGCACACTTTAAGTCTTGCTCGATGGCGGGTGAAAGGTTTTAAACACCTGCATTTGATTCGTGCTCGAAAACAATTTCGCTACTAGCACGCGACGAAACATCCGTCACGCCAAACGAGACGACAAAAAAGAAATGTGCCCCGTTTACGCCAAAGTTATACGAAACGGACTCCTCCATGACCTCTCTGCTTCTCGCGTAGTGATCCTACGAAGTAAGCTGAATTCATCTTAGATGGTTGATACCAAAGACACGAGTGAACATTGTGGTTAAGAGGCACACTTCAATGCCCCACTCAATGAGAACTGCACATCAGTACAGAATTCTAGAAAGTTAGGCATTCCAAAAGCACCCACTCAGTGATAAAATTATCTAAAAGGCAGAAAGACTCTGCAAAAATTCCAAGGACACCTAAGCACTTCTTATGAGTTGTGAATGCGAAAGCATTCTTGGCGTTGAGAGGAGCAGAAGCGGCCGCAGCACCGGCAGAGAGTGCGGCGGTGCACCGCGCAAACTGCCCTGGCTCGCTGGTGACTGCTGCACCGCTGGGTGAGGCAGAGGTGGGAGTGCGAAGCTCAGTGCAGCGCGTGCTGAAATCACGTGCCCTCTCACCATCGTCGCCCTAGCTGAGGGTACCGGTTGACGACGTTACTCGAAGCGTAACATTAGGCGTAAAATTAGGCCTAACGTCAGGCCAGCGCATACCTGCGTCCCCTCCTCACGTCAAACAACTGCGCATACTGGATGACAACATTAGACCTAAAACGTAATGATAGAACTAACGTTAGACGTAATGTCAGATCAGCGCAAGCCCGCGTCCCACCCGCCCGCTGCGCCGCCAGCAGTTTGGCTGGCTCCTCAGCAACGATGACGCCGTCGCTATGGAGCCGCAGCCAATGGGAATTTAAGTGCCATTTTTCGCTGCTACAGGCAACGCCGGCTTCGCTCCATGGGACCAGTTAATGCTTTCGGATTCAAATTGTTCCTCGCTGTCAACTATCTGCCAACTTCCTCAGTTCAGCAGACACCGCTGAAGGAGAGATTGCACCTAAATCCTAGCTGAACATCTTGAACGATTAAATACCCTTGGACAGAGATCATTGTGTCGAGACGGAATGCAGTACACAGGCGTTGTGCTCACACAAAATCAAAGTCCAAACCGACGAAATGAAAATGTGCTGCACCGCTGAAGTGCCCCCTGATCGTCAATAGCTGTGTTACGACAACGCGCATCATTCCGTTATTGGGGCTAAACGTGCCCCTAAGCTGCTGCTGTGGTAAGATACAAGTTGCTCGTATATATGTTGAACCGTAAAGCATAAAGGGTGTGTTACAGTCTCGAGCAGCGAGCACGATATGAAAGAGGAAGAAGCAAGAATGCCAAGTATATGCATGCACGCATTTGTCGATATGGAAGTGGCACCCAAGCAAAAGCGTCTTTAGGCTGGCTCAGCTAGGCCGTTGCTACGAGAACCTAAAAGACCCACAAGACGAGACTCATTTGGGTTACTGGCGGGCTACACATTTTGCACCGATTGAGAGCGATTACCCTCGCAGCCTTCTGCCAAAAAATGTATAATAGCTAAGTCTCACAATTTAGACTTGTGGTGTAATACAAGATAAGTTAGGACCAAAACTGGAAAGGCTTCTCCGAATTAAAAAACCATACATTCATTCATTTTATTTTTGTTTCTTTTGTCAGATTGACTAAAACAAGAACCAGGTAGCAAAGAACACAACTCCACCAGAACACTTACCGAAACGCAATCTCAAAGATCATAAGGCAAAACAAGCTCGTTGAAAAAAAAAAATACACGTGACACCTGGGACAGCTAGCTAGAAACAGCCTTAGCTGCGTGAAAAAAGGCATTCCCAAAGTTAACACGCGAGCGAGGCGGCACGTGACGTCGAGTCCCAAGCGCTCGCGCGCACAGGCTTGGCAGACTTTCTTTCAGTCTTAGCCGAGACGCCGTTTCAAGCGAGCTTGCTTTAGTAGCGCTAACAAAAAATAACTTAATAAAAAAAAAAAAAAAGAGTGCATTGTTTGCGTGGATACAGTAACACACAATGTTCCAAATGCATTTCCAATTACCACCATCCTACCTTCCCAACAGGAGAGGCCCGAAACGAGCTATTAGGAACATAAATAAATAGGCGCCAGGGGATGCGCGACAGCAGCCTTCCCCCGAAACTCCGCCCGCGCGACATCGCTTATCACAGGAAGAAGCTGGCGTTGCCCAGCCGAGGCAGTGGGAACGGCGGGACAGCCGCATCGTCAGAGCAGCCGCAGCCCTCCGGTGACCTTGTCCACCACGTCCAGCCGTCCCATGATGCCTAGCACTGTGTTTGAACCTGCCGGAACCTGAAGCAAGCGGAAGAAAATAAATGGCCAGTGTTAAGATGACGTGTGTTGCTCGAAGATGAAGCCCGATTTTAAATGCCACAGGCTGGTCCACACATCTGCATTTGATCGCGATCCATTGCGTCACGATGGCTTGTGACCACTAACGACGAGAACGCTAGAAATCTGACAGGCACCATCGATTGGGTAGTCCTAAGAACACTGCATATTTTATAACTACCGTAATATCCCAAGAGATGAATCACCCTTGGAAGGTAACCCATCGTTTTTGGCATGATTTTCTCCCGTTTCAGAAACACTGAAACATAACCCACTCTAGTGATTGCAGGGCCCGGGCCAACAGTGATTTCGGCGAAAATGATGCTACTTGCCTACGACTTGGTACAAGCGAACCTTGCCAATTTGGAAGGACGGTAATATTTGCTTCATCGCTCTAAGCTGTGATCACAAGTTTCACAGGACAAAGAAATCTAAAGCTAGCATTTTTTTAAAAATCTTTTTTGGATTGCAGTATGAAAGTCAGCCCACTCCTTATTTTTGCCCTATTCCGATCCTGGGTGGTCTATCTCTCGAGATATCGCGGTAGGCTGGAGGTTTCGCATTATTTGCGAGATCAAGTCTACGAAAAATGGTCTCTTATAACATTGTCAAAATTATTTCGAGTCCACGGTCAGAAGAATGACACGTAAGAAATTGGGAAGCGTACGCAGACCGGAAGGGTTCCGGGGCTCCCGACATAATGGCGTGAGTGTGTCCTCTCGTCGTGAGCACTTAGAAGCAGTTGCAATGCAGTCGATCACGCTCGGGCACCAACTTGTGAACCAGTCTCGTGCACACCCCAGGGTTACGTCGAACCCCGACCGAACCACGGAACCTCCGCTTCCGGGAACGATCGCACACGCAAACCAGTTGGGGCCAACGCGTGACTTCGTTTTTCGGCCGGGCCGAGAATCCCGTCCCAGTTTCTTCCGCGCCTGAACTGCGGTGCCCGAAGCGCATTTCCGGCCGGTGTGCTTGACGTCCAGTCCCGCCCGCGCGCGTGCCAAAGGCAGTCTCGAAGTGGCAACAGACGACGTCGCTGCGTCGGAGCGTCCTCCGTCGGATGTCGCGATCCCAACGGTTGGTCGTAGAAATGCCGACGAAAAACGTGAGCGTCGCCTTTGCCGTGGCGTCCCGACTTCTGGCTGCCGAAAATTCCGTTGACTGCCATGGTGGAGAGCAACCTGCAGCGGAATGGGCGTCTGCCACATCCAGCGCTGCCGCTGGGACGCCGCCAGGATCGCAACCGGCGACAGCATGACACTTTGATCACGTCATCAAATAGAAATCGAAAAACCACTTTTTTTCCCGACGCGGAAAACACGCCAGTTTGAGATGCGTCCACACCAGTTTGAGACACGTTGCAGACGCCATACCAAAACAGCACAGAGGCAGCAGCTAATCCCTGCTTGAAGATGGAAAATGTTTTCTCCTTCCTGCTGGGAACTACCGTAGAATACCGTGCATCCGCCCATTCCACATTATGCGCCCATTCCCAAATTTGTAAGATCTGAGAAACTACGCACAGTACATTTACATGTAAAATTGATGACCGGATAAGTGCCCCTCCCCCATTTTTTTGCGATTATCTCCAAAGTTTGAGTGGGCGCTTGCCCGGTATTTTACGGTACTCTGGGAGGGCGGAGACATACTCGGGTAAAAAAACCAGCCGATGCTGCGAGCAAACTTCCTTTCTGCCACTTGACCTCGCGTGTGCTGAAAAGAGTGCTTGGAGGCACGCCAAAGCCCCCGTTGAAATCGGCCGTCCCTCCGAGAAGGGAAGCACCTTGCGTCCCTCAACTTCGATAGGAAGGTCGTCGGAAACGTGTTTGCGCTGTAGGAAGCTTCGACCACGTGTCCTACGACCTTGGAAGTGATAGACAACAAAATCTAAGACAAGGAGCAGAAAAGTTTATTCCAGCAGCACAGCACTTACCATTGAGCCAAACGAGGTAGCTATCGAGCTACGAGCAATTCACTAATAATATTCACTCTAACGTAAAGCAACTGTCCATGTCGTTATGAGTTTTTTCCGGCTACGAGTCCCTTTCTAGAACTGGCAATGTTCTTAAATAAAGAAATAGGGCCACTCTAAGAATGCTCCACTAATAGCCCCATAGTGACATGCTACCAATTTCAGTGTTTATGCATATGGCACATGGTATGTCCATACCATAAGCACAAAGGAGAAGAAGGAAGAAAAGAAAAGGCCAAGAAGATGGGACGGCTGAGTGAATTGTGTCTGCAAGCAGCGGAGCTTGAAGCGGTATGCTGGCTCAGCTGGGGGCTCTCAGGGCCCAGTAAGGAATACCACCTTCCTCGTGCGTATCACGAAAGGACGGGAAATTCCCTTCTTCTAGCATTCGGCCTTCGCTAGCGAGCAGAGTGAGCCTTGCAATCGGCACACTGCAAACCAAGTTGTCTGCCGACAGCACCTCCGCTGCTCTCGCCACTGATGGTCCCAAGGTTGTTGCCGAGCGCTTGCAATCGTTTCTAACACAGTCTCAAGAGCACCCTTAGAAACTACAGGACGGACCGCTCAATTGCAACACGTTAGCTGGCGAGATGACCCTTTGCTCTAGGATACATACGAGCCACACTCTTACAAGTACAATTTTCGGAACTTGGGCTGCTTGGCAGGAATGTCATTACCATACAGTTCCAACTGCCTTTCCTCCATCAAGGTTTAAAAAGCTTGTTCCAACTGCGCTTTCTTCTCCCTACTATCGTTGCCTTTTTTTATGAAGTACAGCTGGCGGAATCGGCATGACCACTGTTGCAGATGCAACAGAAACAGAAACAGGAGAGTCGAGCCGGCTGCCAGGAGGCAATTTCTCCTATTGTTTGGCCTGTCCAACATGAGTAACTGGTGGACTCAAAACAATGACCACGGTGATGTGGCATTCCCTGGCTAGCAGTTCCTTACCAACACCACGGAGAAACCTATTAGACTATGTGAGGAGACTTCTGGGTGTCCACATTCTGCCTCAAAATTTCGCAAAGCATTTACCAGCTTTTCCAGCGTTGCAAGGTAGATTCCCAATAGCTGTCTTCAATGCAAGTAATGGTAGCTGCCACTTATGAAAGTTTTGCCCCGAACGTAACAGCCACAGCTGCAAGATACTGTCACATGAAGGAAACCTCACCAGACAGTCTGCTGCTCTGGTTTCTCATCAGTTTCTTATTCTCCAGCGCCCCTTGGAGACAAGCGAAAAACCTATCACAGAAACAAATGATGAGAGCACAAATGCGGAAAAGTTTTCAGACAAGGGTGATCAAAAGACTGTGGCCAGACTTCTTCAATAACTCGCATTGACGAATCCCTCTAAAGCCCGTGACCTCCAGTAACTGGCGGAAAATTTAATTTGGACTTGCATGTTCCTCGAATGTGATGCTCTGTCGACACCTCAACAACTCAGTTTAGCATGGATATTCTAAAAACATAGCAATATAAAAAATGCATCTATCAAAGGTGCACCTTGACTTTTTGATTGACCTCAAGGTAGGAGGGGAACGAATGGAACACTAAAGAAGACAGAGAAAGGAATCACTCACCTGTGTTCTTCCCGCATCTTGAACAAGGTAGGTCGGCAAATTCAGTGCCTTAGCCTCCTTCTCCAGCTCCAGAAGTCGCTCTGTGGTGTCTGCCCGCAATGCTATTTTCGTCTCCCTGCAGGTACATGTTAATTAGTTGCAGGATGACCTTAACACTTAACCATTTGGAAACATGCCACGCAACAAATGATCCACTCAGCTTGACACACATGCAGGATACTAGATGAGGGAGCCAATGTCATGCTTTTCACCCATGTGTTTTAATGTGTTTCCCCCATTTGTAGAGTTCTAAAAAATTAGTTTTAAGGCATTCATTGGTATAAAGCAGGAGTCTCACTCATCTGAGTGCAGGAGCCAGATAGCCCACCCCCAAAATGTTCATAGGCCGGAGGGAAAATTATATATATATATATATATATATATATATATATATATATATATATATATATATATATATATATATATATATATATATATATATATATATATATATATATATATATATATAAAACTGAGAAGAAAAAAACCCTTAGTGAAAAACAGCAACAACGGATGATTTAATCTTCGACGTTTCGGCCGGAGTCCGGCCTTCGTCAGGAAGGATATATATATATATATATATAAAACTGAGAAGAAAAAAACCCTTAGTGTAAAACAGCAAAAACGGACGATTTAATCTTCGACGTTTCGGCCGGAGTCCGGCCTTCGTCAGGAAGGCCGGAGATATATATATATATATATATATATATATATATATATATATAAAAAAAGACAATGGTGTTCTATGTTGCAAAGCAGCCGAGTCTTTCACCGACACCCAGAGATTTTCTACGGAACAGATCTCGTGCTATTTGCTTTTTGTACAATAGCCGTTTTGCCAGTGTCGTCTTTAGCTTTGATCTGTTCATATAACTATATTGGGTTCGTAGCTACTGTAAAGTTGCGAGAAAATGCCCGCCCCCGAGAGATCGCCCATCCCGTTTTTCCGGCTAAATATCTAACATAAAAATTCCGAAACATAGCCCACCCCCCTTTCCCGTCGACCTTCACGTAATGTCCAACGGGAATTGCATCTGCTGCGCGATCTGCTGCACCGGTACGTCTGATAAGCGAGTTCCCGCATTTTTGTTTGCGATCTGCGCTAGCGATGTCAGCTCCCGTAACATGTGAGTTGTTCCCGTGAGTATATTGCATCGTGAAATATGATTCTGCTGCGTCCGTAATCTGTAGCATTCGTTCCCGTGACATATAAGTTTGTAGCGGATTCCCGCGTTTTTGTCTGTGGTCTGTGCGCATGATATTGGTTCTGGTGACAGGCAAGCTTCTAGTGGGTTCCCGTGTGTTTATTGCACCATAAAACTTTAATCTGCTGTGTCTGCGATTGTCGGTATTCGTTCCCGCGAAATGTGAGTTCTCGGAGGGTTTCAGCAGGTCTTTCGTACGGTAAAACGCGAAGTTGCTGCAACCTGCGGTATCATTTTCTGTGACACAGGAGTTCATAGCGAATTCCCGCGTGTTTATCGCATCGTGAAACGCGAATTTGCGGTGTCTGCAATCTGGAGTATCAGTTCCTACGTCAAATGGTTTGAGGCGGGTGCTCCGGTGGTTAACATAAATTTTTTATAAAGTTTTGCTGTGATATTCTCAAAGATAGCTTACCCCATGTTTTTCACCATTTATCTCTTCATTTTGGCTGGGCGTTCTTTCGGAACTTTACGTAGTGTGATCCAAAGATATAAAATACTACCATGCAGCCAACACGTTGAAATTTTTCAATAGAACTACACAATCGTTACTCTGTCACTCAACTCAAAAAGTATCCAAGTTCAATATGTCTGGAAAAAAATTATTTTTGGACGTTAGTTTTTGTTTTTATGACAATTTTTATAGCAGTATTATAAGAAAATACTTATGACATAACGGTGTGTAAGAAAAAATCCTCGATCTGAATGAAAACAGATTAGTGCCAAATATCTAAAAATGTCATAAGAGCAGAGCTGCATTTCCAATGGAAATGCGGCCTGCGGGCCACATGTTCGAGACCTGTGGTATAAAGGAAGGGTGGTTCAGACATTTACACTTTGAGTATGACCTATGGCATTACGACCGCTTATGAAGAGGTGCTATGACAACTGAGGCCTGTACAATGCGTTGCAGTGCAATGCAATGCAACACAGCACAATGCAATGTAAATGTTTAAACCAGCCTTAACACACTGACAACGGGGTACAGCATGACAAGCTCTCTGTCATTCACCTTCATTTCAATCTGCGACTAAACAATGTCTACCCTATGCAATGCATGTCTATTAAGACATAACTGGTACCTCAAAAGTAAGAAAGGCAGCGTAATGTTTTGCCTCCATTATAGTATTTCTACCTAAATCTTTAGTAGTGGCAACATTACTCCCAATCATCACTCGCTTCTGTCCAATGTGAAGTTGGTACCTTAGGAGAAACCAATCACAGCACTGCTGCTGGATGCCAAGGGCCAATCAGAGAGCTACATGTGGCTATGCGCTCTTTCGCAGGAAAGCATGTGTACGAAGCAGTGTTAGGACAATTATGACAGCAAAAAGAGTACGTTGGGAGCAGCATGTGACCTAAACTTTTAGGTGCTCCAGGGATTTTTAATTCACATCCCAAACAGTGGTTAAGTGGAGCCTACACCAACAGATAATGGACAGCTCCGCTATAAGTTTAAAATATTAACTCCAAAATACATAGACCCTTCTCCTGTTTGCGAACACAAGCTGTCTCTCGCAACCTAAGATACTTCCGGTTGCTCTGTTTCAGCATGCCTTCAGAGTTTGTTGATGTCAAATTTCCCAGGACGACAAAGTTCTACAGAGATCACGAAGTCGGGGATTTAGAAAAGTCCTCCTGCTGCGCTATTCAACACATAAGAAAGGATCGGTCATCTTACAGGAGTATAAAAAAAATTTCCGACAAATATCTTGCTAACGGGTCCTTTAGCTAACCACCCGGAGAACTGGTCATAAAATGTTTCATGAATGTTACAAGACGTGGTACTACGGTGGGGATTGTTTGTCCTCTCATTTGACTGAATGTTTGCAGGGACGTAAATTGCCCACAGCGCCTGCACAGGCTACCTGGGAGCCACTGAGACACCCGTAGGCAGAGCCTCCACCAAAGAGAAGAGAGTTTTGTCAAGGAAAAGTGCACATCACAAAGCTCATCTACACAGATTTCAAAGGACTATTTCATTTATACCTATTTTTTTCCTCAGAGTAAAGCAATGTCGTGTCCATTTTGCTCAAGTCGAACTCAGACAAAAGATGGGGCCACTGTCAAGCTGCAATTACCAGCTCCGTTTCTCTACCTCTCACTCTATTTTGAAATTTCAAGAAGGCTGAATTCAAATCTGCCGTTCCATCTTTGTTGATCCCCTGCTCTTTACTGTACTGAAACATGACCGACTTAATTCTCGCTGCACATACAAAAGTAAATACAATCTGAAACATGCCAGGTGATGCATGCTAAGGAGCCCAGGTGAGCAGTTGCACTGCACTGGCCAAGTTGCCCATCCGTGGCAGAGGCACCAGACGCCACTGCAAAGGCCGACCCAGAAAACTGTCCACTGCCAGGCTGAAAACTCTCCCCCCTCCCCACTCGCCCCCCTAAAAGTAAAGAATCTTTGAGCAAGACCTTTTGAATGGCAAAGCCAAAGCACTGCATTTTCTATGTCAAACACGAGGTATGCAGCCCCGATTGGACACAAGTGCTATGGTAGCACCTAGCTGGGATCAGGCTTGGGCAGAAATACTCAAAAATGTATTTGGAAATACAAATACTGGGATACTTTAAAATAGTACCTAAAATACTGATACTGAAATATATCTGTAAAAGTGTATTGCGATATGTATCGAAAATACATTTTAAATAGAGGCAAAAAGTATTTGGAAATACAAATACAGGAATACATTTTAAAGAGGGCAGAAATACAAATACAGAAATACTGATACTGCAATACATTTTTCAAATTTATTTGAGACCAAATTGGATGAAGCTTGGAGTTGGAAGTAGAAGTTTTTGATCCTGAAATTACTTTCCCATAGGCATGGCACCTTGCTTTGAAGGTAGTGATTTCGGACGACGAGGAGTCTTCAATGGGCTCAGAAAAATGTTCCATCAAGGACTGACCGTGGTCCCTTCCCTGCCATCATGTCTGCCTGACAAGGGATGCGAAAAGACTTCGACCTCTAAATAAATTTTCTGTCATCCTAAATACCATCAAAACGTCACCACGCACCTGTCAAATAGGGACGCCCCTGTCAACATTTATCACATGACGTCACCGTGGAATGAACTGGTAGTCTTGATCTGTAGGTGTGGCCTTGAACATGAAACTTTAACACGCTGCTGTATGAAAGGACAATACGTACTTTCGTCGTAGGTTACCTCGTTGAAGATCATGCAGGATTTTCGAGAATGGTGGACCACCTGAAACATCCTGGAACACATGTCTTATCTTTTGTTACGGTTGGAAAAACAATACGGTGGCATTCCTGTTGTGAAGGTGCTTCCTGCTGATTCTCCGCCACCGACACATGGATTGCAGTCATCAAGTTTCGCCTTGCATACTCCGAAAAGAGACCTCGTGGATTGCGATCTGATATTGCCAGCAGAGGTGCGAGCTCTCCGAGAAACAGCGCGCTCAAGACAAGTCGCAGGTGTACGAAATCTGGGTCGGCACAGCGAGGACACGTCTGACCTCCTTCCTGGGTTTCGGATCACCAGAGCAGCGAGTCACTTTCCCGTCGGCTGATGACATACCCTTGAGCCGTGCAATATTACGGGCGCAGCCGCAGACGCCTTCAAATATCTGTTGAACCTCACTGCGCGAGTTATCCTACTATTCAAGTCAACCACCGCCAGGCTCGTGCTGCAACAAACTGTGACTCAGCTTTGGTGGATGGGTGTACTGTGTACGTTAAGGCAAGAGAGTAGGTTAGCAGCGGGCTTTGGATGCCCGCAAACAATGACTCAAGAAATCCCTACCTAAGGACCTGCGGCACAAGATGCTCTGACTCCACTCCTGGCATGCCACTTAGTTCGAGTTCCCGATTGCGCAACAGTTTTCAGAAGAGAGAAGAGGACGCATAGAAAAATAGTTTGGAGAATCGGAAGGAACCTCGGTCACCATGGTAACAATGCCCCAGCATCTCCTTGACCCTGTGCCCTCAGAAGTAAAAAAAAAAAAGCGTTCAGACTTTTTTTTTTTGGGGGGGGGGGGGGGGGGGGGGGAGTATTTTTTAGGAAATGTAACGAAATACATTTCACCCTGATTGTATCGCGATACAAAGGAACATTCAAAATGTATTTTGATACAGAAATACAGATACTAGTGAAAAAAATGTATCGCAATACAGAAATACAGATACGAAATGTATTCCTGCGGTACTGCCCAACCCTGGTTGGGATGTACATCCCAGTTAGACGCCGACACAGCATTCTCACCGATGCAGTGAGAGCCCCTGCCGAATGCAGACATAGCGCCGAAAAGAATACTACGTCAACATTGAAAGTCGTATTTGCCGTTTGGGGATCATTGAGGCTCCCAAACAGTAAATTCGACTTTTGACCGTCAGAGGACTGACAATCGAAAGTGCCGCACGCCCCCTGCACCCAAACAAAATCGGGGTTCCGGCAGCGCATTCTACGGCCGTTTCATATCGAAAGACGCGACTCACCCATAGTCTTCCCAGAGGAGCAGCATGTTGGCATACTTGGGCTCGTCCTGCAGCAGAAACCGGTAGAGGCCTACCGCCGCGTGCCCCACCTGGGCCGCAATCTTGCCCATGCCCATCTCCAGCTCCATGTTCACCACAAACACCATCTTGAACACCTCCGGGGCGTCGTCCTCCTCAGTGTCGCTCTCGTCCAGCGATCCGATGTCCTGGTGTGCGAAAGGAGGGTGTCAAACATTGGACACCACACTTGAATAGGTACCGTTGTGGTCGAGGTGAGAGCTAGAGCGTTCTCGGCCTTCGATTGGATGTGGCGCCGCAGCTCGCGCGTCATCAACCAACAAGACACTTTTGACCCGTTCACGAGTCCAAAATCGGGCAAAGTTTTGTTGAGACTGTCTCACCGACTCCCAAATAGCGAGAAAAGTCTCGCGGCCTCCGACGTGCCCGTCCTTAGTACTACTCCATCTACCAGTCGATGTCGGCTTGTGTACGGCAGCGGAGAAACTTGAGGTTTGCGAAAGGAGCGCGGGTTGTCAATGGCTTCCAACGCGAAATAGCAGACAATCCCAATTTCAGCCCCCATCCAAGCTCGCTCTGCCGCGGCGCTCGGTTCGTAGCAGATGATCAACCTTTTTCGGTTCGTTAGCAGACAACATACGGCGTTTTCTTGTTTCATTTCTGTCTGCGAACGGCGCTTTGTAGGAGATGAACCGCATTCTTTGCTCGGATTAGCAGACGAAGCATCTACGAATGCCACCTTCTCTCGCTCCATGAGAGGCAAATTAGATCTCGCGGTACCATAATTGGACCCCCGAAACGTGCCTTCCACTGGTGTGTTTACTGTCCTATCCCATACCCAGAGAACAAAGGTTGTCTCAAAGTGCCAACACATGACCTCGCAGGAGCCGGCGTGCCTTGCCATCGGATGTCGTGTTCCCGGATGTTCCAACTAGATAAGACGATCAGACGCTAGAGTCGTCGCCGTTGCATGGCTTAACTTCTGGCTGCAGAGGCTTTCGTAAACTGTCGAGGTGGAGAACGACCTGCAGGCATTGTGCCGTCTGCCACGTCCACGTCTGCTGCCGAGCCACTGCCAAGATCACAGCGCGGTCAACAGCGCAACACTTTTACGACATGTCGGGGGGAAATCAAGGGACCACTTTTGAGGACATGATAGAGGCGCCAATCGAAGACTTGCTTCGGGCACCGTAGCTACGACTAGTGTCACCAGAAAGTTATGCTCAGAGTCTCACTCCGTCTTTTCCCCCATTGCCCAATGCCACCAAGATGGTCTTGGTCCGAGACGGTCGTTAGCCCATTTGTGTGTCGCGGCATTTGTTTGTGCGCCAGCAGCTCGCTGAAGTCACCACCTTGATGCCATTTGCGACAGTTATGGTTCTGCAATGTGACCTTTTTAGTAGTGGATACTCGAGTTAAGAGGTTGCAGCAATATTGTTTATGTGCTGGAGTAAGCCGTCTCGGCAAGCAAAACGACGGAAAGCACCTTATGTACCTTTCGTCAGGCACGTCGGCAAAAACTGGCGAAGGCGGGCAATGGTGATTCTATGCATCAGTATAGCTGAAGTGGCATTACTCTAAGGCGCAGCTCAATCAGTGGCTCAAGTTTGGACCAAGCTATCCGTCCGGTACCGTTTACAGGTGCAACTACAGCTGTATCCTCGTTATCGAAACACTCCACCCTGGGGAGTCTTTACAAGCACTTTGCTTGGGGTGGTGACATCAAATGTGGCACATTTTTTATCTTTTCTTGCTCTGGAGAATATAAAAGAGTGCCTCCCAACACATAAGGAATACAGCGCCTAAGGAATCTACAGACCCGAGAAATCGTCATGGGTAAACAGTGCCTAACATTAGAGACACAGACAGTGGCCCAACCCTCCCAAGGGGACGCAGATCTGTAGGGCTCACGACGCGGAACCACAGAGTGTGCCGAAGGATCTTGAGACTGAGCCGGAAGGACAGCATAAAGGACAAAACGCTGAGAAACCCCAACTCGATGGAACAACCATCGAAAGTGGAGATGAGCTTTCAAAGCGTGAAAGCGAGTTTAGCCATGCCACCCAAAAACGCACGGATGAGCATCCCAAAGAAAATGAAGCCCAAGGTGAATGAAGCTCTCCACAGTACACTGGGAGGTGCACTATGCAAAAGAGAGGTGCCCCAAGGTTGTAGATATGAGAGAATAAATCTCTTTTATAAAGGGACAGGGAAGAAAGATTCAAGTTGGTCCATCCCTGTGGCCTTTCGTGTGCATAAGGATGGCATGCAGGCGATAAAATATAAACTGCAAGGCAGACCAGAGTAGAAAAGCATGCTGGGTGAGCTCCAGAATGGCTTTTAAGAAACGGCCAGAGAAAACTTCATATGTGCCGACCAAAGCAATTAAGACTCTGCAGCACAGGGAAAGCACCAGCGGACTGCTTTCTTGAACAGTAAGAAGGTGTGTCGATCGATCCTGTTGCAGGATGAAGAACAGGGAAACGAGAAAGAAAGATAAGAGGAGCACAGTTGAGACGAGTCAGGGTTCTGCAAGTTGGAGCGAGTGGGAGCGAGTTGGAGCTAGTTGGAGCTAGGGACAGCCAGAACATGACTAGGCATCGAGAGGCCTGACCCAGAGTCTGCTTCTCACATGGTCTGGGCTCCGACCTTTACGAGATCGACAAGTCCATGTGGGACGTGGTGAATAACATCGGCTGCATAGTTCGGGGACCTCTGCCCTTCAATGTCAAAGCCAAAGACAAAATCAAAGTGTTTATTGGCATTAAAGGGATACTACAACGAAATTTCGGCGCTCATTTTTTGGTCTATATGTGTTCAAAGGAGCAGTATCACATCGAACATACCAATATCTTGTTAAAAAAGCCTAGAAAAGGAATTTTAAAACAAATTAAACGATTAGCAAAGAGCACCTAGTGGATGTCGCTAACGCCTCGTTTGTAATGCTCATCTAGGAACCTTGACAGCTAGTGAAGGAGGTTGTCTCGCCTCCGGCCACGACGAAAGAAGAGGGGAAGGAGGAACTCTTCCCGAGAATGCCTTTTGTGTGTCGCAGAAGTTGCTATTATCCCCCTACAAGATTATAGAAGGTTAACCCATCACTCAAAATTCGTACAAAAGCAGCTGCTTCGGTGGCTGGAACGACTAGGCCATCCTCTCGACGTCAGCCTCGCCATAGCTTTCCTTGTCCCGAGACGACCTATGTCACGATTGCGGTGGATGTCACGTGGTCTCCACTGGGCCTTCTCCGAACGCTTGCCAGAGTGGGCCGTTTATAACGAAAAATACAGCCACCGGGCTCAAAATACAAATGTGCGATTGTCTTTTACGGATATTGTAGATCATATTCAACCTATTTTTGAACACAACGGGAATATTTCAAATTTCGTTGAAGTATCCCTTTAACATCCATCGGGCCGAGAGCCTGAGGCAGCCAAAAGTGCTGGCTGCCTTCTCGGTCCTAGGTTAACAAGTAACGTAGGGCTTTGTTAACAAGTTAAAGTCCGACTTACAGAATCGTCTTCTACCGGGGAAAAAAACGGTTCCCAGTTTCCTTCTCTCCATTCTTACTTGCCCACTTTTCCCCTCCTCTCCACACAGCAGCGGATCTCTGAACTACTCCCAGTAGAGAGGAGGAGGATCTCCCTCTTTCTCAAATGGAACGGAGGAATTGAGAGAGAGTTTCCTTCTTTCTGCTTGTTTGTCGGCCTTTAAGAAGGTCCCGGAAGTGTCCTGGAACCCTAGTATGACAGAAGGATGACCCAACTAGCATGTCAGAACTACAACTATTTGGTCAACCCAAGGATCCACGCAAGCTCCCTGTATGCAAGATCCATGGCTACATGTTCTGTTGGCACAGCCAGAACTTCACTTAACCATGACCGAAGGGACATTGGGGCCCCCTAGAAACACTTGAACGTTTTGCCATACGAAGTAAATGGTATTATAAATATTTTTGCTGCCTCAATCGTGCGAAGTGGATACAAAGTAGCGCATCCCTTGTGTGTCTCTGATTTTCCTAACGTCCATAATTGCGGACAACAGCACAGAAGGCCTATGACTGGGGTTCTGTGTTTTTTAATAAATCCAAAAACACTCGCCCCGAAATTTTCAGTCGATTTAGATTTCTCAACAAAAAGCCTAAAAATTTTAAGATCATGACAATAAAAAAAAAAACAAGAAAAAAAATGGTGTTTTACAAATTTTTTTAAGAGCACAGGGTCAGCGGTCCTAAAAAGATACCACGTCCCTTTCCTTTGGAGTCTCAAACTACCGACAAAAAGGGTTTGCTTTGTCAAGCTCCTCAAGGTTCCCACAGGACAATGAGTCGTGTTACCCTACTTTTAATGATTTTGTTTTCAAATTTTAAAAAATGGGAACATAGTAAAATAAACTTTGAATTTCAGACACATGGGAACCTAACAAAAATAAACTCCAATAAGCTCAGATAAACCCCAAGAAACACCCTTTGAATTTCACGAGAAATAAACTCGGAAAACATGGAATCGCACCTGTGACTTCATAATCCCCAGTTCAAGGCTCTCACAAGAACTGCCACAAAGCGGAGTAATGGGGGCTTGAACTGCTCCAGTAAGTGTACAGAAGCACAAGGATAGTGAAGGAGTGAAAGCACGAGCACAACCAATCCCAGTGACCAGGGGACTGCAATCTCAAAGAGCATTTACTGCAAGTGGTGATGAAAAGGTGGATGCAGGTAACCACACACAAACCGACAATGGACCTGTACACGTCATCTAAGCTGAACGTTGAATTGGAGTAACTTTACCAAGACTCTCAGAACGGAGGCCCGCTTTTCAAGGAACAGACTGGAATCTTGAAGACCAGGATGTAGAGATTGAAGTTCGACACAAGTATCCAACTCCCCATGTTGTCTGCGGAGGAGCAGAGGAGAATCCTGATGCTGGACTGTGAGGCTGTCGGCCCGAGCTTGCAGGTAGACAAGCTGCCGATTGCGGTGGGTTTTCAGCTGGCAGAGGACGGCAGTGACGACTGGGAACAAGTTGTGGTCGAGACTACCAGACGCAGGCTGAATCGGTGGTGGGAGTGTTCCTCGCCACTCCGGATATGTCAGGGGTGCACTGGCTTATCTGTGCCAAGGGAGCAGGCCTGGCCCAGATAACTTACCCCGACAGAAGACAAACTCGGCTGGTCTCGACTGGGCACTTCGCTCAACAGGCCCGACTAAGCTGACGTATGTCTGCTCGTCATGTGGCTGACTGAATGGTTGGCCACATGATGAGTGGCCGACCGTTACAAATGAGACGCCAGTGTTCTACCAACTACACATCAAAACAGTTTGAGAGAGTTTGAGATCAGATATCACTTTACACCCAAGCATGCTGTCGAAGTAAATACAGCCCGATGAATTCCTCCCCAAGAATGAGCCCAGAACTGGAGCTCGAAGCATTCATGAAGAAGCATGCGAGTAGGGGCGGATTTATGGGTCACGCTTGGGAGTATGCGGTAGGCATTTGGCTGGGGGGGGAGGTCCGCAGAGAGATCAGATGTCATGGGCAATGCATTCCCCAGATCCATATGGTTCACCTAATATTCGTCTGTTAAAAAAAACTAAACATGTCTTACAAAAAAAAAAAAAAAAAAAAGCTGGTGCATGTTGTTTATTACTTCAAAAATGTTGCCCTTAGGGCTTTTGGGGAACGGTCATGCCCCCATCACTTCTTAAATCCACCCATGCACAAGAGTCATCGCCACGACAAGCTCAGATTATTTTGGTGCTTGCTTCAAAGAGGCACTGACACTCCAAAGGCAATATTTTTTTTTTGTTGTCTTAAACAATGCTAGTAGAAGTCGTAGACATGCAAAAAAATACCACAACGCGAAAAAAAATTTCCCCACATGTTTGGCCAGGGGTGAAAGTACCGTTTTCTAATTTTTTCCTTTTATTTTTTTTTTAATTTTATTTTTCTTAAATTCTTTACACAAGCGCCTTTTAATTTTTGGCGCCCTTCTCTCCCGCTCCTCACCTCCTTGCTTCTTTTGATTTGTGATGTTGAATATTATGAAATTCAGAAGTGTAGTGGCTCAATGCCACACAGCTTGCCGCACGCGAGAACGACCATGCGCACTTCTTCATTGGAGATGATTGATTTTCACTCCCGCTAGGGGAGACAAAAAAAGGAGATCGACGAGGAAGAATAATAAAGCAGTTGAGATCTGGTACGCAAGCTTTCAGCTCGTTCTTTCTCGGACCTCGCTCGCCACCTCAACAGAAGCTTTGCAAACAACATTTTTATAACATTTAATAACGGCATTCGTAAAACATGTTTTTAACTCAATTGCAAATCCACTACAGCCCTTCCTTTTGAAATACCAAAGATCGGAGTCCGGTGTGATGTAGCCTCCTGACTTTTTATCCTCCCTCAGAAAACATGGCGGCGCTTGACGCATTTAACAGAATCGGTGAGTCGGGGAATCGGACGAAGTGGTCTCTTTTACGCGCCCGACGACCTCTCATACTTCGTAAAGGAAATCGTCAAATAATCAAACCAACTGGGTTTGGCGTCTGTGTATCATAGTTTCGGTTGTCACTCCACCGAAGCAGCCTTTCAAGCACAAATGGTGCGACATGGCCCCTCATGTCGCTCACAGAAGTCTACTGCGCGTTCTCTTCGACCTTACACCGTTCCAAAGAATTTGAGATCGCTGAAAAGGTCCAAAGAGAACTTTAAGCTCGAAAGTCAAGCATTGCCTGCTAGCAGTGATAGGCGGTACGCACGGAGGAAATTGATTGTTCGCAGGACGCCAGCAAACACAACATTTCGGGTGGCGGCGGTTCAAAGGCGTCAGAGAAACTCTACTCGCAGGGCAGCTCAATATTTGACGTCACTGCGCTGGAGCGGATCACACGGGAACTTCAAATTCGGAATCCGGAAATTGTTTTTTTACTTCACAAATTCTTAATTCCCAAGCTTCAAATTTTGAGGGCAATGTCCAGGCACCGTTTTCAATCGTTTCGGATAATAAAAAAAATATGATTTTGGCGTGTCAGTGCCCCTTTAGCGACAGAGTGGCAGTATTGTGCAGTAGTCTGTATGGGAACATATGAAGTGGTCTAGTGGAAACATCCACCCAAAAAAAGCTCACCTCAAGAGGAGTGTCAAGATCAGCATCACTGTTCTCGAAAATCCAAGCAGCCGCAAAGTCAGGGCCCTGGTTGCCGGTGTAGTAAAGAGCCTGCAAAGAGCGTTTTTTCTAGTTTTAGAGATGTATAAAAATGTTTAAAAACAAAAAGGACAGTGTTGGTTGCAAATAAAGTTCCGGCATTAATAGGTTCACCCTCAATAGCCCTATTCGAGAATCGATGGCACAGCTTAACTTTAAATCTTAATCGTATTGACCCAATTCCTTATCTTCTTTCACACTTTTCCAACCTACTTTTTGTTCCCAATACCCCCCTCACATTTTTTTTTTTATATTCTTTTTAATGTTGCAAGTGTGCATCACGTTTTCTACATGTCTTCACTAGAGCACTGCACGGGCCAGAGCTTCTAGACCCAGCCCGGTAGAGGTACGGCCTGGGCCTGGCCCGAGCCCGACAGAATATTCAATTTCTAGACCCGGCCCGACCCGGCCCGGCAGAATTTTTAGACAGAAGCTTGAGCCCGGCCCGAGCCCGACACATTATATACATCAGCCCAAAAAAGTCTGCAGGCTTTAACCTAAAAAAACTTTCTAAGCATAAAGCGAGCATATTTGATTTAAATTTCTTTTAAGCTTGGACCAAGTTTCTTTGACAATAAACTGACATGATAAAATAGACTATGTATTTTCAAGAATATGGGCGAAATATGCACTGCATAAATGATTCTGAGAAAAAAAAGGGCAATATCTTATTTACTGTATGCATTTCTTGAAGAGATATTGGACTTTTCGTTGTTTAATTCGTTTCAAAGAGAACTTTCGTCGCTACATGTTTTTGTGAAGAAACAATCACAATCACGCTAGTGCATCTTCAAAAGGCTGTATAAGTGCAAAATTAAGATGAAGCTTTTTTCTTCTTTTTTTCTTTTCTAGTCTGAGAAGCAGGGGAAAAAGACACTCATGTTGAACACTGCGATTGGAGTGCCGTCGTTTTCTTGATCGCACTTTCCCACTATGGTGGTGGAATCCTATACATTTCCTTTTATCCATGTAAAAACTTTCCAAATGCAAGACATTTTTTTTTTTTTTTAACGGCGCCGTTGTGATTTTGTTTTTTGCTTGTTTGTTTTCATTGAACTTTAAAGGGATGGTGAACCCAAATTTGGATATCAAAAAACAATGCAGGAGCTGTAGGCGGGACGCTACAATCCCTACAACTCTACTCGTAAGGCGATACCTCGAATGGACGACCATATTTTTGGAAAAAGAGGTCGAGATTGAACAAGGTCGACGAGGCGCGTGACGTCCTAAGATATCTTGTTTCCTCCTCCCTTTGTCTTCCCACCTCAAGGCGGTGAGGTGGAGAAGAGGTGAGGCCGTTCCCTCTACTTCTCGGAAAAACAGGCCGTTCTGTCTCCTTCTTAGAAAAACAAGAAGTGAATATAGTTGTCAAATGCGCCTCCTTTTTTTTAAAAAAGTATGATCATCTGTTCGATATATCGTTGTGCGAGTTATGTTTTGATGTTTGTAGCATCGCGTTGCACGCTTTTGCCGCCGTGCTTTGTGGAACACAGATTTTGGTTCAGCATCCCTTTAAAGCGATCAATGAGCACATTTTTTGTTACCAACAATTTAGAATTTGCGGCACACGAAGGCCCGGGCCAGCACAGCCCAAAAACGTTTTTGTTCAATCCCAGGCCCGACCCGGGCCCGAGAAAATGTGTGCTACGCAGCCCGAGCACCTTAAGCTCTCCTCTCTACGATCGGCGGCTTTCTTCTCTCCACTGTCCTCCTCTCCAGCATGCACTCTGCTGAAGTAGAAAGGGTGGATGGCATTGTGGAAGGAGTGCATGTCCTGCTATTCGTAACCTGCAACAGACTATAGTCCATGAGAACATTTTACCAACACATAGTAATAATTGCGATGTCTGTGTGTATAGACGGTAGGATAGTTAGTCAGCCCCAGAGCCGTGTATAGAGAGAGTTAGGTGAATGGGAGGCGCGGGCGGAGCCAGGGCGTGCGCCAGGCTCGGAAAGAGGGCTTGGCATGCTCTCTTGACCAACCAGAAGCCGAAAAGAATCCCCTAGCGGTGGTAGCGAGAAACACATCTGATCAAAGGTCTATGTTCGTATATGGTTTTAATAAGCACGTAAGAGTAAAATGTAGTAAGTCTTTGTAGTTGAAAATAGGGTGCACGTGTTGCTTTGATCATGATCATGCAGAAAGATGTAAGAAACGAATGCATCGCTCAACTCTGTTTTGCTCAGTCAAAGTGTGACCACTCGGAGGGCAGATTCTCGATCGTTCCGCTAGTCACACTCTTCCACTATCATTTTGGATGAGCGCGATTGAAACATCACGTGTACCATATTTTCAGTCACCGAGACTTACTCCGATGCAGTTATCAGGTTTGTTTCTCGCGACCACTGCCAGGGTATTATTTCCGGCTTCTACTTGGTCACATTCGAATTTGTGAAGACGCCCTGGAACACGCCCAGCCCGCTTTCAGCCAATGGCGCCTCCTCATTTGTCTTCTATACTTCCCAACGAATGGCCAAACTCTCTACATATACGGCTCTGGTCAGCCCTAGTGAGCGTCTGGAGTATCGACTGCAGATGAGAAATTTAGCCCGTGTAGTACCACTGCTAGCACAAGATCTTTGACGTGCATCACGTAGTAGTGATACAAGATCGCAAGCTGGTATGAATGTCATCCAGATCGGAACGGGCAAGGCTGGGGCTTGAACCCAGGACCCCCGGGATCTGCAGCGCGGGGTTTTTGCTCCCCATGCTGCGAGCTGCAGTGCACCAACACACTAGTCCACCAATCTCCGATATAACGGACGATGTCGGGCCTACCTTGACAGCCGCATTTCGACTGATTCCCATGTTGAGCAGCACCTCCAGGTAGTGCTGGTTCGGGAGCCATTTCGTCGGTCGGCCCTTGGGCGACTTCGGTGTCTCTTCGCCGTCCCCGGCCTGCCTTTCCTCGTCCATGGCTCGGCCTGCTCTCGGCAAAGAATTCGATGGTCCCGTTAGGGCTGGCTCGTATACTTGTATTTGAATGCGACTGACTGCGCAGCAACCGTTTTTAACCGCTTTCATTAAGAGAACATCGGCATGCATAAATTCCAGTGTTTCTAACTGGCCAATTGGGGTGGTTTATGGGCCACGTTTGATTACAAGGAGCAAGGAGGAGGTGAAAACGTCGATTGTCTGCAAGCGTCTCAACCTTTGCTCCGTCTCTCCACCCACTGTTCCTCCTCGCAACGTGACAACAGACGCTTAGGCACATGCACCCTATTTGCACAGGACACGTCCATCATTCAATTGCAAGACCTCTCCGTGACTCGAGTTGCTCCCCCCCCTTGTATTTAGGCTCCCTCGAGAACACACTGCCATAATCCATCAGGTTGTCGAGGAACACCTTCAATTCACACATTACTCGACAGAAGATTTCACAGTATTTATGGGACAGAATCTATGCACTAGCTATGACTTCGCTCAACTAAATGGTATGGGACTCCCTTTCCAGAGGTGCATGGGGGACAGCGGGGCTTGGGTTGCCGGCTGGACGCTGCGAAGCTGCGTGTACGGGGGGGGAGGGGTATTGGGTTAATAGTGTTGTATGGGGGGGTACCAGCCTTCAGTGATACACGCGCTGTCCGGCATGAACTCTCCGCGTCGTGCGTAAAGTTATTTCCAGGGGGAGCACACGACGTCGTGCGTATAGACTCAGTCATAATATAATTTGCGAGCAAAGCAGTCACTGAAAGTCTCTACCGATATTTACGGTAATATTATTCAAATGAAGTATAGGTAGCAACCAAGATTTAGATTTGTTGTTTTTTCGTTGTCACACCTGTTTTAAAACGACCAAACTCTGTGTTAACAAACAAGTGTTCACACTTAACGTGAGAACTGCCTGACGACTGAAGAAACCGAACAGTTTTTTTTTTTTTTTTTTATCAGTGTAAGTAACGAAATCTTCACAGAGTTGACGAGTGAAGGTCGTTGCAACGGCATCGTCGAAAACATCTGCCTGACGTCGCAACAGCATTATTAGCATGGTCGCTGTCAGAAATGTAAGCGCAGCGTGGCTCGGCAGATGTCCGCAAAAGCGCCAAGTTGCAGGAAAATAAAAAGTTATACCGTGGTTAACGACCGACATACAGACTCTGTGAAGCTTACCTGGCGCGATGTGAAAAATAGTTGACAAAAGCCGTCAAGAAGACCACTCCTTCGGACTGCACAGACGTTTGCGCCGTTCACAAACACAGCAATGGCGGCACGCGGCGCTAATTAAATGCAGACCAGGGTTACCAGTTTAACATCATTTCCGTCTAAACCTGGTGGCCGCATTAGGAAAACCTAGTTTCGGTTTTGTTTCGATCAGCGCTATTTGGTTTTGGTTTTTATATCTTTCTTAGACCGTGACCGTCCCCAAGGTCATATGGACGTAGAACCTGTCCCCCTCTTCTCCCTCACTGATTCAATTAGCCAAAGGCACAGTACACTTTTTTTTAGTTTTGGTAAAGATTGCTGCAAGGACACATTTATAGAGACTGGTGAGTACTGATTTCTCATGGTATGCGTATTTTAGAGAGGCAAAATCTTGCTTTCAGAATAGTTTAAGTGACCACATCTATACTCTTCGCTTCATATATTACGGATGCTTTTGTTTTCCTTCACTTCATATAAACGATTGGGAGCGACCACACGGTGAGAAACTGAGGGAGTGTACGAGACAAGAGCGCGCGGGGACTGATTGTAATGGTTAGTGGATAGGCGCAAAGGCTGGCTTCCTTTGTTTCTACTCGCTCTTCGAACGCGTTTGAACGCATTCGGACGTCAAATATTATTTACGACGCAAGTACAAGTCGATTGGAAATCACACTCTTCACGAATAAAATTATAAATGGGTTACTGACGCAAGTAAAGTACATGAATTGCGATTCTACCACTTTGATGGCAGCGGCGGATGCGCGCAAACACAGCAAGATGTCGTAGCGTATATTAAACGTTTTTTTTTACCCATTTAAAATACCTGGTAACAGATGAGCGGTGGCGTTATTAATGTCCCGTTCGGTTTTTTTTTTTTTTTATTGGAACTTGACCCAGTGTTGCGATCAGGCTGTACATGCCTTGTCATTAACTTCATTCGGATGAATTAGAATAAGCGCGGCATGCTTCCGGCAACCGGTAACTTCAAGTTTCTAAGAGCACTGACCTCAGTTCAAGTGGTGTATGCGACAGTGCAGCTGTGTGCGAAAAGACAATTTAAACAATATTGCATCCTCATCTTAGTCCGAATAGCTCTAACTTTGAAAGAGCGAGCGAAACCTTATATCTTGAGGCTGATACTACAGTCGTCGACAAATGTTCTTATGCCTGGATTATTTCATCTACCCGGAGACCTGACACACAGGCAACATTTCTTTGCGGAGGTTCGCCTCCCTAAAAAATAAAGCCTCAACGTGGTGCTCGCCATTCAAACTTGCCGTGTGATGGGACAGCAGTGACACAGGTCACTGCAATAACAACAGAACTCTTCCACATTGACGATAATATCCCAGTTTCCAGAGATGTGCTAAAAATGTGAAGCAAAACGAGACAAATACCTATCGCACGTCCTTTCACTGTAAACCTTGGGATTCCATTTATACCCACAGATAATTTCGGCTTTGACTATCGAATAGCCTCCATGGCTTCACACTCAGTTATCGGATTACAAGAGAAAAGAGTCAAAGCCGTTTACAGCTCCCTATAACGCCGAATTGGAGCGCAGCTCTTGAGGAGGAGGAGGGTAGGGTATTGAGGAGAGGGTAGACCCCTCCTCCTCCTTTTCCTCCTCCTCCCCCATTCTTCAATCTCGTCCGGGGGGGGGGGGGGGGTCACATGACTTCGCGGTTACGCCGACGCCGCTCAAGCCGGAAACGGCCCCTAAGAGCTGCGCTCTAAAAAGCTCGTGGTGCACCTAAGCACTTCTTAAGAGTTGTGAATGCGAAAGCATGCACGTCATTCTTGCGCTTCCTTATTTCGTCTGCAGCGTATTTGCGTCGACGGCAGAGCGCGCCCTCTCCTCGCCGCTCTGACCTTGGACTTCCGTGTTAGCGGCGCGGATGGATGGATGGATGATGGATGGATGAATACGGCTGAGCCCTTTGGATCGGGCGGTAGCTTACGCCACCTAGCCATTTTGTTTTACCATTTAAGCTTAGAATATTTAAATGTGAAATCTATATTCACTCCGCAGTGCAAAGAAAGTGAGGCTATGAAACCCCCTTGCCATCAGTGAATAAGAAAATACCTAGTTTTCTCTCGATTTCTGCCACCATTCACTTAATCTTTGCTTGGTAATCTCTACAGTCTTGAAATCCACTCTCCCTTCGCTGTCTCTAAAACCCAATGACTTTATTAAATCTATGTTGTCTTCGGTAGGCATAGGGTGAAGCCCTTTACAGTAGAGTATCAAGTGCTCAGCCGTCTCGTCCTCCTCTCCACAAGCAGTGCACACTGTATCAATTTCCTGGTACTTCACTTTGTATGTTCTGGTTCGCAGAACACCCGTCCTCGCCTCAAACAGCAATGAGCTTCCCCTAGAATTGTCATAAATGCTTTCTTTGGCAATAACTCTTTTGTTTAATCTATAGCTTTCCAGAGCCGTCTTTGTCTGCATTCCCTCTAGCCACCGATCTCTTTCTGTGGCCTTAACTTTCTTCTTAACTGAGACTTGCTCTTCCGTATCTTCGCTATAGCCCAAAAATCTTTCCTCTTAATTTCCTAGTGCGTTGTCTCCACTTTGTGTCTACACTCCTCATGTATAAATAGCTGAAAACCTTTCGTGCCCATTGCTCCCCATCCATTTGCCTCAACCTATCCTCAAATTCTATCTTGCTCACCGCTTCCCTGCTCTCAAATGACGCCCATACCATGTCTCCTTGTACTCCCTGGTTTGGCGTTTTGCAATGTGCCCCCAAAGCCAGTCTACTATACTCCACGCTGTTTTATTTCTAGTCTCGCATGCACTTCGGATTTCATGCATAGCACTGCGTTTCCAGAAGTCAAGCCGGGCACCATGACCCCTTTCCAAATCTCTCTCACCACCTCGTACCTGTTTTAATTCCAAAGTGCTATATTTTTCATTACAGCTGCATTTCTGTTGCCCTTACCTATTATATACTTTTCATGCTCTCTGAGATATTCTGCACCATCACATATCCATACTCCTAGATACTTGTATTTACTAGCTCTCTCAACTGTAATATTCTGTATCTTCAGCCTCTCAACCTCATCCTCGTTAAAAATCATGACTGCTGATTTTTCGCTACTGAATTCTAAACCTAATTCCTCTCCTTCCCTACCACAGATGCTCATTAATTCCTGCAACTCTGTCCTGTTGTTAGCCATTAGTACAATATCATCCGCATACATCAATCCCGGTAAGGATTGCTGAATTTTTTGACCTAGCTTACTGTAAGAAAGGTCGAATCCAAGCCCACTCTTCTCTAGTCTAGCCTCCAATCCTCTCAGATACAACATAAACAGCAAAGGCGATAACGGGCACCCTTGCCTAAGGCCTCGTCTTATCTCTATTTTCCCTGTCGCCTTTCCTTCCCATGTTATAATCACCTTGTTATCTTTGTAAATGTTCCTTAATAGTGCTGTTAGTCCTTCATCTAGGTTTAAGTTCTCCATTATGTCCCACAGGTTTCTTTGGTTCACATTGTCATAGGCACCCTTGATATCCAGAAATGCCAGCCAGAGCTGTCTCTTTTTTTCTTTTTTTTTTGCGCTATTTCTATACATTGTGTTAGAGAAAATAAATTGTCCTCCAACCTTCTTTGTTTCCGAAACCCGTTCTGTAACTCGCCCAGTATGCCCTCGCAATCTACCCATTCCTCCAGTCTGTTCTTTATAATCTGCATTACCAACCTGTAAATAACCGGTGTCACGGTTATAGGACGATAATTCCTAATATCAGACTTATCTCCCTTTCCCTTATATATCATACTCATCCTACTAAGCCTCCATTCATCTGGAATATTTCCTTTTGTTATCATGGTACTCACTACCTCCCATAGTTTTGCCTTCGATTTAGGACCCAAATTCTTCACCAGCTTGATAGGGATACCATCTGTGCCTGTCGACGTGCCACTAGAACTCTTCGTTCCGCCTTTTCCCATTCTCTTTGTCCAAAATCCGCGATGTCACAAACTGGACTGCTACTTCCTTCGGTTCTCCTATCTTCCACATGTACCCGTTCCCGAAATTTCTCCTCCATCACTGCTCCTATATATTGTATCGCATCATCTCCCTCTAATTGATCTCCCTGATGCGAGAGTATGAACCTCTGTCTAGCTTGCGTTGTTTCACCGAGCGAGTTCAAGTGCTCCCAAAACTTCTTGGCAGCGTTTCTATCTTTCTTACTTACATTACTCATCCATTCCTCACCCTTTCTCTGAATTTTCGCATTGATCAAACTGGATGCCTCTCGGCGACATGTTATAAAATTGTCCCATTTTCTTTTTACTTCCGTTTCGGACTCCCCACTACGCTTGGAATACCTGTGTTCTCTAGAGGCGTCCTGACGTTTTTGTATCGCTTGCTTCACTTCTTTGTCCCACCAGCTTTTTGGTCTATGTCCTTGCTTCCCATTTCGTTTACTCTTAACTTTGTCTAGTTCTAGAGCAAAAAGCCTAGTTAGGCTCTCATAGGTCCAATCTGTATACCGTTGCCCTGAAACTGCTGCCTCTATTCTTTCAACAACTATTTCCAACTCTTTGTCGCTGCAGAAAGTTTGCTTTGAATTATGTTCTCTAGTTTCAGCATTTACTTCTCTGGCAAAATTCAGCTTAATACGTTTGTGATCACTACCAAGACTTTGACGGACACGCAGCGCCATGGGGTGGCAGTCGTTGAAACTGACGCACAGCGGCCAATGGGCGCCTCTTCGACTCGCGCCAGCCAATGGGACCGAAGCCGAAATCCATCAGCTTTACTCCGCTTCTTTGGGATCGAGGAAACTAGGTGCCGTTTGACTAGACTTTGCGCGTGGTTTCATAGGAGTTTCACTTGGAGAAAGGATTTAAGGTGCCGTTTGGCGTGGCTTCAGAGCTGATGACGTCGGCTCGCTCCATGGGACAGCTAATGCTTTCGCATTAAAAGTCGCCGCCTCCGATGCCCGGGCTTCAGGGCTCGGCGCTCTGACCTCCTCGCGTGCTCTCACCTCATCGGCTCTTTTCCACATCTTACGCAAATGGATCCGAGTTACTCCGGCGGGTCGTGTCACGTGATAACACAGATTGAA